CAGGAAAAGCCAAGTCCATTGCTTGACTTGCAGTTGAAAAATGAAGAGAAGTGATGTTCCCCACATTTGAAGGATACTGACAAGTACAGAGATGACAGGAACTCAGTTACATGCGATGAGGCCTCAGTGAGAATTGAACTCACGACCCCTGGTTTACTAAACCAGTGCTCTAACCACTGAGCTATGAGGCCTTGCATCCTAGCTGTCCATTAGCATTTTGAAACGTGCAGCCAAAATCAAAGTCAAAAATAGTCGGGTCCTCAGCAGATTTGTCCAGGAAAAGCCAAGTCCATTGCTTGACTTGCAGTTGAAAAATGAAGAGAAGTGATGTTCCCCACATTTGAAGGATACTGACAAGTACAGAGATGACAGGAACTCAGTTACATGCGATGAGGCCTCAGTGAGAATTGAACTCACGACCCCTGGTTTACTAAACCAGTGCTCTAACCACTGAGCTATGAGGCCTTGCATGCTAGCTGTCCGTTAGCATTTTGATAACGTGCAGCCAAAATCAAAGCCTCAGAAATTGTCGGGTCCTCAGCAGATTTGTCCGGGAAAAGCCAAGTCCATTCATTGCTTGACCTGCAGTCGAAAAGAAAGTGATGTTCTCCATATTTGAAGGATACTGACAAGTACACAGATGACAGGAACTCAGTTACATGCGATGAGGCCTCAGTGAGAATTGAACTCACAACCCCTGGTTTACTAAACCAGCTCTCTAACCACTGAGCTATGAGGCCTTGCATGCTAGCTGTCCGTAAGCATTTTGTTAACGTGCTGCGAAAATCAGAGCCTCAAAAATAGTCGGGTCCTCAGCAGATTTGTCCAGGAAAAGCCAAGTCCGTTGCTTGACTTGCAGTAGAAAGCGATGTACACATTTGATAAATACTGAGAAGTACACAGATTTGCTTGACACAGACGACAGGAACTCAGTTACATGTGATCAGGCCTCAGTGACAATTGAAATCACGACCCCTGGTTTCCTAAACCAGTGCTCTAACCACTGAGCTATGAGGCCTTGCGTGCTAGCTGGCCGTTAGCATTTTTGTTAACGTGCTCCCAAAATCAGAGCCTCAAAATAGTCTGGTCTCAGCAGA